CCCTGAAACATGGAACACATGGGCTCGATCCTGCCACCTGTTTGTTAGAAGTCGAACATCCCAGCCACGGCCTCGTTGCCGTCCAAACCGTTCCGTCACCTCAGACATGCTCTGGCTCAAGGTGCTGTAGCGAATGCCTTGCATCACTCGGGACAGCCGCTGCCGCGACGTCGGACGTGTGTCTTCGTCCGGCTGCCAATTTGTTTCATCCTGTTCCCCAATCCATCAGTGTCGTGCTATTGATGAAACCGATGTAATCGAAGCGAAATCGCCAAGTGTCTGAGATAAATCGTCATGAAATTCTCACTCGACTTCTCCACATTGTTTTTTGTGTCACCTATCATGTCTATGGGTAGGAAAACGCGGTTGCTGACACCTTGTCATGAGTGTAAGGCTATCAAGTTCAGGCCATCTTTTCGAGCCAATCCAGGATAGCAGTTACCCCACCCGTGCCAGCATCCCGACGTCCTCAATATCAGATATCTTACCTCCTCTATCTCCAGCGGTATCTCGTCCCTAGGCTAACACTGCAAATGAGCTCACAACTGGCTGACCGGGTACTGCCCAAGCTCACCTGTTGCACAAGACTTGTGCTGCTGATGCAGAACCTTGATCCTAGGTCACCACAATCGTCCCACATTGTAAATTAGATATATAAGCGGACATGATGATGTAACATCAAGCCTCATCAGGCTCAAGGACGATGCAAGACGGTGCCCAGGTACCGGGACCTGAAACTTGGTCTCGTGTCGGAAGACCGACCAGACTAGGACCACAAATAAGTGAAACCAGCAATGCGCCTTGCACCTGCTCGCCGTACGCGGAGTACGTGTCAAGACAGAGCCTCGAGCTGAAAGATTTTGGCGCGATCCGGGAGGTTTTGGGCACCTGAAATATTCGATGGTCTAGATCTAGACTGCAGGAATAGGAGCGAGCAAAGACGCGACATCGATTGACATCACAACTTCGTCAAGAGCTCTATTGACGATCCGAGTGCGGCCGAAATAGTCCTTAGAAATAGCAGATTCCAAAACAACCAAATTTACTAGTTCGCAAGTTGGAGAGATTTTGGGCGAGGGAGCAGGCCCTAAGTGGTCTTCCTCAGTACGCACTCGGGGGCTAATGACATCGGGGAAGGGCCACCCCTTCTTGGCATTAGATATCGTCGCTGCTTAAAGAGACTTCGAATAAATGACTCATACCTGCTACACTACGTCAAAAACACTGGGGACTCCGGATGCCTGGACGAATTAATAGGAATAGGAATGTGGGAATCGTGTTAAGATGGATTCCTCTGTCCTTAGACGCCTATACGGAGCGATGCCGTTGGGGCTGATTAACAATGAAGGAGGACCCCACTCCCCCAACGTTAGTGCAGTCAATGAAGGCGGTTACGAGGATAAACGCCGTGTTGCCGGGGTTTGGTGAGCTATACCTCCCAGCGCTCCCCCCTAAGCGATCGAAGGGACCCCCTTTTCCACCCTCTTCAGTGATCAACAAAGCTAATACGGGGACCACTGTTCTACGTGCCATACGGTATGCTGCAGGCGGTTAGCACGTAGGTAACAAAGCATTTCCACGGTTATGGCCATTTGAGATAAGGTGCCAGATACAACCCGTGACCGAGCTGGGGCTGGAACACACAACGAAGAGTTCTCGTGTATTAATAGTAGGTCTTCGGCCACGATGAAGACGAACGCCGAAAAGATTGTAGCCAACCGTCCAGGATCGATGGATCAGAAACGCTAAGATGATACGCTTGAACCGGGACGCAGAGATGCGACGCAAAATGCCAATGACTTGAGGCGGTACACCATGACAGAAGGTACCTCGGTGCACGGAAACTTTCCGATTACGACCTGCAAGGAGAATTCGTCACGGCAAACTACGTGATTATCCGAAATGCCCCCGACAGACTTTTCTACTCGTTTAACCCTTGGACGAGGAGCTTAACCGAGTCAAAAGGCCTTGGTCCGGTGAGGCCCGATTAGCAATCAACCTAAATGTTCTACACCTTCCCATGCTGCCACCACCTTTCCTGGATAGCCAGGATATCAGATAGCGGGAGGCCACAGGTGCGCATTGAGCTGCCTCTTCAGCTTTACGACGGCAGAGCTTAATGGAATGCTGTGGCGGCATGTGGACTATCTCTCCTGGTTAGATCACTGTCGTAGCCAGGCGGCGCATGATAACCTGTAGCGAGTCCGGGGTCGCGCACAGTAATTCGGAAACTCGTGCATGATTTGAAACAAGGCTGGTCGCGATGGGGCCTGCGAGCGATTACACAGCACCAAACCATGCCGGACACCGGTGACGCCACACCGAAGCGAGGGAAGGAGTCGGCAAATATAGTTCGCAATTATCAAATAAATCTCGGGAGGGGGGAGGGCGTGGGGAAGGCGAATGCTACAACAGAATGGTTACAGCAGTGCTGACTCGGGGGGGGGGGCGGTGTCGAGGGGAGGACAAGTGAAATATTTACACTGTGACCGTAAGTATTGGCGCAAGCGACGGGCGCCCAGGTGTCGAGCTCACGTGGAAGAAAAATCAAACCTCCACACGGATGGGTCTAAAACAGAGACAGGGTGGAGTAGGCGGCGGCGGCGCGTCGGTGCACTGACGCATCTGGGAGCAATGGCCAAAAACATTTACAACAGCAGTGACAGAGGAAGATTGGGATGAGCTGTACAACAGTGTGATCGCCAACACTGGCACGGGGAAGGGGGGGGGAAGGAGAGAATGAAAGCACGGAGGCCGACGGGTCTATACACGCATAGGCAATGATGAGAAGAGGGACAAGGCTGTCAGCCACGACCGAAGTGGTTACACCGATGCTGCTGCTGCTGCTGCTACTGCGGTGGTGGCGGCGGCGATGATGATGACGACGACGGGGGGGATGAGGCCGCATAGGGCCAACCGGGACGCGGCTCTATTGCGCCACCTGGCGGCGAGCCGGCGGATGGGCGGCCAAAATTGAAGCGGTAAGACCCATCACCCGCGGTTGCAGCCGCTGCCGCCGCCGCCGCTGCCGCAGCCATACCAAACATGGACTTGGTCAGCCAGGCCTGTGCGGCGCGTGCAACTGCCGGTGAGGAGGCTGCGAGCAGCGCAGCGCTACGCTGAGCATCGATTAGGCAGGACATTGATGACAGAGGTGTGGCCGACGAAGGGGGACCGGCGTCAGCCTGTTGGTGAGGAAGGTGGTAGGCGGACTGCATTGAAGAGAGAGTGGCGGCGGCGGCGGCTGCCGCGACAGACGCGGTTACCTGGGAGCGAAGTGTAGGGCGAAGTCGATTGACACGGGTGGCTACATCCAGAAACGGTTCTGAGACCGGTGTATGGGCTGAGGAGCTTGTCGGGGAGCAGTGAGCGCTGGGCGGAAGGAAGGAGGAGCAGCCGGGCGAGGAGAGGTGCTGACGCCGAAGGGTCTCCTGGAGGGCCTGGTTCATATCCTGGGGGGAGCAGGTGTTGGCGCGCAGATGCGTTGTGGGGAACGTGTGGGTTCCTTGCGGTGTTGGTGGTGACGGGAGGCTCCAATTGAGGGCAGGATCGTGCAAGGTCCGCTGTTTTGGGGCGATATGCGAGGAGGGATAGGCATCGGCAAAAGACAGTGATCTCTGTATTTGAGGCGGACAATTAACCTGAAAAATCAAAACAAAGGAGGAAAGTCAACCTGTCTAGAATATTCATAGCTCGTGAGTACTTCCTAAGACTCGTCTTGTAGGGCGTAGCTTAGTAAGTTTTTAAGTGGCTAGAGGTTAGGCACGAAAATATGACCATCCTACACGACAAAGTTGGAGAAAGTGCGGGCTAGCGTGTGAAATTGGACCTGGACGCAAAGGCTGAGATGGCATACCAAACACGAACAGGTCCGTAGATTTCACATGCTCGAAGATGCTGCGACAGAGACTCCGATATGACCTAAGCGTGTGATAAGAAGGTCGCCTCGAGAGAGAGAGAGAGAGAGAAATGCAATGCAACCGCACTCGAAGCGCAAGCTGCCCATGATGCGTAGGATGTTGTGCTACTCGGGCGCGTCAGATTTTGTTAATGAGGAGTGCTACGAGCATAAATTCCCAGTTTCACATTATTATCTTTCCTCTTGCCCACTGCGCCGCTCGACTGTCCGAGCCTGCCAAACAGCAAGGGGTGAGATTGGATACAGTGGCTGGCCAAAATAAAGAACCCGTCTACGCGTGCCACACACGACATAACCACCACCTCGTATACCAGGTCACACCGTCAGCTGGCAGCCACAGCCGTTTGTGCGGCGTGATTGCTTTAAAGTGCATTTTCCTGCCTCCCGTAGGGAAACTAGGCAGGCCGTCTAATTTGATGTGGAACCGTAATCTAAGGGGTACCATATGTAAGAGCCGGGGTTTAACAAACGCGTAAGATGCCACGAAAAAATACCAAGGAGTCATTCCCGGGCATGCCTATACACTCCTGACCACCTCTCGTTGAATTTTCAACTTTCGTAGCTGTACCACGATATATGTACTATTGTACAGGCTTGATGAGGAAAAATCGAAAAAGTACGTTTGTCGACTTCCACTTCTTTGGCGTCCGGACAGTGGATTACAAGAGCACGGTGGCCTGTAGGGGACAAGCCGTGGTGCATTTGCCGGGATGACAAAGCCTCGCTATGAAAACAACGACACAACCAGGCTCTCCGGTACAAGGACCCAGATATCGCATCAACAAGTGACCCTTTAAGTCACGATCTTCGAGGTGTGGTGATAGATAGCACGCAGTTATTCCGCCCTAGCCGATGGATTGCAGCTCAAATATTCATAGCACCTTTGGACCGAGCCTGAAGAGGGCTGGTCCGGTGGATTTGCTTCAAGTTCGCGCATTTCCTCGGAAATCAAACAAGGCAAGATGAAGCAACCGGAGTTTATATACACCAGAAAACACGCGGAGAACGCTGGAGGACCCACTGATGAGCCGAAACCCACCCACCTGCGTCAGACAGTGGCACACGAGCGGCAAGACACGCGCGTTTCTGGGCTTTAGGCCAGTAGGGTATAAAATCACCCATCGATAGGACAACATCGGTCTGACTACCTAACTCTCCCCGCTTCCCTCACTTTCCAAATTTGGGCGCGTCCCAGATGCGCATGGCTGCAGATGTGAGGCCGCGACTGACCAGGTGTTTCACTCCATCAGCCTGGTTTCATGCGTGTCAAGCACGTGCGCCTCGCCCCTGACTGACACATGAACCCACTTCCACTCTCTCACACACACGCACTTGTCCGATAACGCATAGTTTGCGCTCTGGCACATGTCGGAGGCGAGTGTACAAGAAAAAAAGGACACACAGAGGGGCACGGACAGACACGCACGCGCACAGACACATACACACGCAGAGCGTCAAGCAGACATACGGGGGAGTTGAAGCTGCCCAAGTGGCGAGATGAGGGGGATTGTGGCACCGAGGGTTGCTGTCCGCGGCTGCGTAACGCGGCAGTGGACGGCACCGAGTGCAGCGGACTGCCGTCCGTGGCGGAGGCCGCTGATGCGGCGGGGAGGGCGGCAGCACCACCCTGGCTGCTGGATCTGGCTGCAGCAGCAGCAGCAGAGTTTGTCAGCATGGCAGAATAGAACTGCTCAGTAGCGCAGGCCAGCATGGCGGAAGCAAAAGGAGCAGAAGCACCACTGGGAATGGCAGCAGGCAGCGACACAGCGGCGACAGCGGTAGTGGATATACCTCTGTGGTTGGGCGGCGAACCACCAGCCGACTGGTGGTGCTGCTGCTGCTGCTGGAGCTGCCCTGACGGTGAGTAGGAATGCTTTTGGTGGTGGTGGTAGGGGTAGGGCTGGCCTGATGACTTCTGGCCGCGTTGGGGAGCAGTGCTTGCGGTTGGCGTTGTAGCCATGCAGCTGGGGGAGGCAGTGGAGCAGAAGGATGACGAGGATGATGATGGTGCGACAGGCCCAAATGCTGACATGTGACTGGGGCCGCTTGTCGAGGCAGTGGAATAGGTTGAATTCAGACTCGAGGGTCCTTGAGACCCAATGGCGGACTCCGTCGGTGGCTTTCCTACGGACCTCGGCCGAATGGCCTCTGCTACAAGGGATGAGCAAACAAATACTGTTGTAAGCAGTGACACATTTTGTAGTATGTATTGCAACGAACAGGAGAAAGAGGGACGTCTAGATCAACAGGCATCCGGTCAAAGCGGGACCAGAGCATCCCTGCAGCTACAGTGAGCATACGGGCCCGAGAGCGTTTAAAGTCATGCGACATACATCAAGTACGCCACCATCAGGCTGGAAGCTAGGAAGCGAAGAGTGCCCCCACGCGTAGGAGACAGACTCGTACAGGCCCGAGCGGAAGAGTTGAAAACTTACAGACCTAGATGAGTTCGGAGGGTTATGGAATTGAGGCCTACCTCCCCTTACACTTACTAAGAAAGCTAAGGGGTACGCAATGGGCGTTTCCGGCTTACTAGCCATCGCCAGTCAGTCGTACTCAAGTCCAAGTCTGGAGGACCCGAGAGTCGAGTCCGAGTTCTCTGGTCATTGAAAGTGAAGTAGTCCAAAGTCCTGCCATTGAGCCCGGCGGACTTAGCCGAGGAGGAGCACGAGTCAGCACTCTGTTTGAACGGCCTTCCGCTGGACACCGAGATAATAATAGGCATCAGGCGCCAGGTCATGAGGCCGAAAGACCCACTGCCACGGCAGGAAACGTCCGGAGTCGTTTGGCGGATCTGGTGCAGTTGCGGACAAAGCAACTACGTCGGTGAAAGTGGGAGATTTCTCCGGACGCGACTTGCCGAGCATGCAGCAGCAGTAGTGAGGCGGGGAGACGCTAGCTCTCAGGTGGTGACTCATTCGACGGAATCCGGCCACATGTTTAAGTTTCAGGAGGCCGAGATCCTCGCAAGGGGTGACAACCGCGTGAGCCGCCAGCTGCTCGAGTCATGGTTCTCAGGCCCGCAATCCATCAACAAGCGCAACGACCCCCCGGTACTATATTCCTTGCTGAGATTTTCCCTGGGCAGGGGAATCAGTCAAGTGGGGAGGGCGCGGGTGCCCAAATATCCTGATGATAGCGGGCCAAGTTGCCGAGTAATCATCACGTCAACATCCAACACGGATAATGAAATTGCGGTAGTTAACGACTCGGACGCGGACTGCCAAGCCACCATCGCATCAGTTACGACCCCAGCGGTGATTGCGAGAGCTGTTAATTACAGTACGCATATGGTCCCACGGCAGCCACGTGCAGTATGCAGCTACTGCAGTCTTTGTGCCTTCCCTACACTTATCTGCGACTGTCTCTGATGACGGGTTCGAGAATCTGAAACGTCAGGCCAATATATGTCTTGTTGCAGTGATCGCATCTTCGTCTTCTGAATAGGCATGGTCACTAGGGAGGGTCAATGCTAACACTGCTAATGCTGGTAGTTCGGTTCGCTGCAGGACGTTTTTTGCCGAACAGCCCAACGTACCTTCAACTAGGGGGTACAGCGACAATACGGCACAGGAATCAATTACCATCAAAGGGATTAATTCTAGTTACTACCGCGTTGAAATCGAAAACTTGGTTAGCAAGGCATTGTCATCGTCACTGCCGTTGGTGGCAAATTATATAAATAGGAGAAAGAGGATCAGAAAGTACCCCCCCCTCGCGAGACAACTTCAACGGGGACTGAAGCGGACATTCAACGACATATGAGACAAGAAAAAGAGACAGTGCACAGAAACTTCACTTACGAAATAACTTGTCGCCTGGCCGTCGTTTGCCGGACACCTCGGCTTCTTCATCAGACTCCGTGAGGTCAATAGTCAGCCCCGGTTCGGACTGAAATAGAAGGCGTGCAGTTAAATTTAATGGAGGCTACTGCACAAAGTAAGGCGCGAATAAGCGAGGCGTAAAAACATCATTACATCTTTAGGGAACCCTTGGTGGACCCCTTGAGGTCAGCGACCACCTCAGTGAAATGTACCACGACACCTTGACCGTCGATTTCGACGTTGCCCACGTGTGTGCTCCACAACAGGGTAAGAGCAGTGACGGTGACCTGTGCGTGAAGTAGTTTCAAGTGATAGACTTGTCAAGCATCTGCCGCGGCCTCTCCTCACCTGCATCCGGTTCCAAGACATAGTCCAGAAGATCGGATGCGGGAAGGGCCGCAGGTGGCTGTCACGGCGAAAACCCGCATCTAGACGTACCACCACACTCCCCGGTCAATAAATGCGACCGATCAAAGTTTTGTACCAGAACAAAAGTAGGGCGGTCGCACGGACTCCAATTGGCGTGGAGTGAACTGGCAACTGGGCATGCCAGCACACCCCAGTTTCGGAATTTGCTGTGAATGCACACTTGACATAACGCCTGCCGAACTCGAATCTGGCCCCTGCGTTGGTCCAGGGCCGAGAAAAGGCACCACACACACACTCAATAACAAAAACCAACGAGTGGCGGACTTCCATGCAGCAATCAAAAAACCGTATAATGCAGATACAACCCTAGCGCACACATGCGTGCACACACACACTACCTTTTGACCGTGACACTGTCAATCTTTCTAGCAGTCAATCATTGCTGGGCTTAAAATTCGACTGACTGACATTTCCAGAGTAGTCTAGAGGCACGTCCACTGACAGTGGGCGACCACCCCTCGGATTGAAAAACGAGTAACAATAGTTAACTCCCCCTTAGGGTGGAGTCCAGTGAATGGAGCAGGGGACGCGTTCAATGGTTAGCCTAGCTAGCGGGAGCCCGACGCGTTCACAAACGGCGGACAGCAAAGCGATCTTCATCGAAGGCTAGCTGTGAAGCAGACGAGCTCAGATCTGGCAAGCGGTCGTGAAACGGCAACAACAGTGCTACCCGGGTGCAGCTGGCACGCAAGCTGCTCTATCGCGAAGTCTGAGTAACGCCACTGTGACATGGCGAATGCGTACTGCCATTAAATAAGTTTTTTGGTATGACTGCCTTACCGCCAGGTTTTCAGTCAGAGCTAAGGACGGCGACCTTCGACAATCCGAACGGTTACTGAGAGTCCGATGGTACTCAAAATTCCCGAAGAAGCTTTCCGAAACAGCTTGAAGGTGCTGCGGCGTCCAATGAGTGTGGACGCGTTCCGCAACCCCGGTTCAGCGGTCCTGGTGAATAGTAGGCGGAATGGACTGCTCAATCAGGAACGGACCTCAGTAATGGATGCTGAAATGTGCTAACATCTCCGTCGTCTCCGTGTCGGTCTGACTGCAACACATCATCAGTTCTGTTCCGAAGAGAAAAATGTGACAGGGTCATTGATGCAAGCCCGTTTAATATGACCTGGTGTCAGCCTGATGGATGAACGACCTTCCCAACCGCAACTGACAACTAGCCCGCGGCTCAAATGTAAAGCACCACACTTAACGATCAAGAACCAAAGGTTCGAATCCCAAACTAATCAAACCTGGGGTTGGGTATAGCTAACTGACAACGGCTAATAAGTCAGAAACGGTCGTCCCAATTTCCAGTATACCCGCCCGCATTGTGTTGGAGCACTTCCTCTCTTTGTCCGTAAGCCTTTTCTATTGCCCGTGGGGATCCTACACTGGGACCTAAGGAGTAGAAGGACGAGGCCTTGCAACACGATTGGTGAACACATTTTCAACATAAAACCGTTGCTTATTAGCGTAACGAAAGCCTACCTCCGGGGCCTGGCTACTGGCAGACGAGGCTGGTGATGAACGCGGCAGCGAGAAGGTGGGGCCTCCCGACGATGCAGGAAGGCTGCGTTTTCGGCTCTCCAAACCTGGTGCGACGGCGGCAGTGCTTGAGATAGAACCGTTCGTTGAATTCCCACTGCTACAGCAAACACCACCACCGCCGCTGGCCTTGGAGACAGGTGTATCCTCAGATGGCTGGATGAATCTCGGCGAGGAAGTGGACAAGTCGGGGGGACATGTCGAGCAGGACAGAGGCTGTTTGGGAACAGACGGACTCCTGTCTGTCCAGGAAGCGGCGGCGGCGGAATGTGAGTTTGAAAGGGAGCCGAACTTCCCAACCGGCGACCATGAGCTGTCCTCTTTGAAGACGATTTCGTCCAGATTCTCGGTCATAGTATCGGCTAATATCTCCAACATAAGTCTGAAAGCGAGTCCCATGCATGAAAAACAGTTAGCTTATGACGATTTGTAAAGAGAGCTGACAATAGGAGTTAGTCCAAAAACCTACCCATCAACCAGGAGTTCGTGAAATGGTGCCGGTACGTCACACACGGGACACTTCCATGCAGGCTTCCTTTCGTTGATGAGAAGGTAGGTGTTGGCATCGTAGCACTGAATATGCTGGCAATTCTGACCCCTAACCGGGAGATCTATTCGACACTTGGAAAGAGGGCACAGGAGTTGCACGGGAAGCGTATTTTCTATGACCAAATCAGCATCTTCCGTCGTATTACTTGAGACTGCAGTATAAGCCAATTTTTCGATAATCTTTTGCTGAAACGGAAGAAAACACAAATGGTGTCCGTGTTAAGATGTGCAGGATGTTTTTGACCTACACGGGCGACGGGATAAGAGGCTGGGCTGCACGGACAGCAGTGCAGCAGGACAAAGCCCGAAGGTGGAGGTTGTGAGAGTGAAAATCGAGTTTTTCTTTTGGAGATCGCACAAACCAACCCGCTAAACGGCACTAACAGATGACCTGTCCGTACAATGCACGCACTACCCCTGATGAGCAACTGGTTAACTGGTCGCGACCAAAAAACCTACCAATTTTACTAGTCGATCGTGCTCAGAAACCCCAACTTCACTACCAGTGCATAGACTACATGCATTTCGCATGCTTTGTCTCCCTCCACTTTCCGAATAGATTACAAATTACACAAGAATCCCAGGGGTTTCGACGGACACAAGACCTCTGCCAAAGTGACCATGGGGGGAGTACTTGTGATAATTGTTGACAGTGAAAGCAACTCTACCTCAACGAGGGAAGAACAGGAACATCAGTTGCTCTACGTAGATGTGTTCATCAGACAGAATCTTAATGGCGAACTCGAAACGACGGCTTATAGGAAGGCAACAAACACCACACAGCTCCTCAGTTTTCACAGCAACCATCCGGTGCCTCACAAACGAAACTGTGTGAAGATGTTCTTCAAACGGATCCAAACTCAATGCAGCAAACCGAAGGAACGTGCACGTGCGGCCCGTTATCTCTGCGACCGGTTTGTGCAAAATGGTTTCCCGAAGGCACTCATAGGTCGCTGCCTACGCGGTCGCCCCCAGAGGACTCGAACATCAGCACCACCAACAATGTGGCATTCTCTGCCATACATCAAGCACGTTTCAGAAGCGACCACCGAGTGCATTGATGCGGAACTAGGTGTCGGAATTGCAGACGCCAGAAGCAAAATAAGCCAAGAATTGATTGAAGCTGGGCCTCGGATGAGAACTAAGTCGATCGACTTATCGATCTGGGGCCGGCGTACAGAGCCTTGCGCAGTCACCTCAAGTCATGCGCCGTCGGCGATGATTGGCTTGCACACCCCATGATTTTCGCTTGTTTTACTGCTGCTACTAACTCTGACGATGGACCCCTGCACGAGTTCGAAAGCTCAGAATAATAAACGAAATGTTCCGGTGCTCGACCATGTTTCTTGTTCACTTATACATACACTGGAACCCGAACTTTAGCCTTCATTCACCACCTCAACTGCATGATCAGTCAGTCTGTCACAGTAAATGGGAGCAAAGGAAGAGGCGAGTGAAAAACACTTCAAGAAAGCTGGTCTACAATGAATGCGGATGCAACATTAGGCCTACATGCCCTTAACCATACCGACTGAGTGCATTCCAACAGTGTAGAAGGGAACTGAACGAGACCTTCCACAAATTTAGGCGATATATAGCACATGAACCTTGTAACAGTTCTGCGGAAGGACATGATAACGGGCTCAGCCGCCGACAGCAGAGGCTTCTGAAGGGGCGTGACTCGATGAATCAACAAATAGGACTGCAACCACGCAGCCTGAAGTTAAACGCACACAGAGGAAAGTAACCACTAAGCACAAACCTTGGTTACGCTTGCGGCCTGGAAGGAGTGCCTTCGAAGGGCCTCACAGAGTTCACGGGTACTGCGTTTTCTGGCAAGGTAAACTGCATAGAAGAAGTAGGTGTATGTGGCGTAATCGTGCGTCCACACGAGCTTTACGGTATTGCTGACGGCCGGAGAGACGCGGAGCTGAAAAAAGAAAACAAGGAACAAGTTTAAGCGTAGGATCGAGTTACACCACAAGGGGACAGACCCTTTGGACACCATATAGCCCCAGAAATTTAAAACCCACGACTGCATGATAACCCTTTGGACGGGCTGAAAAGATGTTTACACTTGGCGAACGGATATGAAATCCTAGATTTATTTTTAAAAAGGCGAAACTCTCGACGGCCATTCTGGTTTGCCTGAAGTTCCAAGTCCATTGCACTTTAAGTGAAGACAAGGTAGACCTGAGACGCGACTGGAAACCCGAAAAGCGACGCGACTGGGGCTGTTTTTAGCATCGATTACTCGTTACCTAACAAGTGCTATACACAGCACACCAGAGCACGATGAAAGCAAATGCGAGAAGCCAGCCACTTCGAACGGGACACTGAGTGAAAAGGTTATATAAACACGAGCAGATGGGCAATGAGGTCAGTTGGTACTCCAACCAATCTTGATGACGCAACGGGTTAGGTTGTTCCGTGAAAGGAGACTTCTAGGGTCATCGACTTCTAGGTCAGTCGCCTCGGTCACCAAACACAGTCCAGACCGTCGCGTCTGACGATGTCCACCGTGTGCTCTACAGCAAGGTGACAGTAGGCAGGGTGACTTGCGTTTGCATTAGTTTATAGTGAGGGCAAACTTGCGCAGCACCTACCGCGGTGTCTCTCTCCCACTCTCCACCTGGACCCGGTGTCAAGACAGAGTCAAGAAGACCGGAGGCGGGAGGGGACGCAGTTGGCTGGCACAGCTGGACCCGCAACTAGGTGTACCACCACAACCCCTGGTCCACAACAAACACTTGACCAGGATTTTAGACAACAACAAAAATGGGTCAGAAGATGGACGTAGTTGCAGGCGCCCGCATTCCAGCTACTTGGAGATCAGGGGTGGGAATTGCTGACTCTGGGAATTCCGTCCCATGTCTGCACATGTTGATCAGGCATTAATGCTATGCGCGGCGTCGACATGGAACCAACACTGTAGGCGAGGTGCCCAGGTCGTCTAAAAAGAAGTGCACCGGGCCAGGGAGGAAATCCAGCAGCACGCTCGGGACGGCTTTGATCCTGCATGCTCTCTCTAACCGCCTCCAATGCTCACGGTGTCGCAGCAATACTACTAGCTGAAGGCGGACACCCAGAAGACAGCGGCTACACGAGAAGTTAGCCAATAAAGAGACGAAAATGCCAGTCCGGGGTTTCGGTTGAAACTATTGGAGATCCATACGTGCATAAACGACCGCGTCACTCGCCGCGCCCTTACCCATCTCCAGTCATGTGGACTCGGTTTTACCATTGAAATCTGCCTCAGATTTACCGCATGGTACACCACTGTGCCCTCCGACGAGCAAACCATAAACAGGTCTTCGAGACCGGGATTTCTCCAGTTTAAAGCAGATGCTGGAATACACCAGTTGCTTTTAAAGACGAATTGCAATGGTCCTCACTGGTCTCAAAAAAGGCAAAACATGGTTGTTTTTGCCTGTAAAAACAACATTTTATGCCATCTTTTCCCAAAAGGACTATTCGGACATACCTTTGGTCAAATATGCTTAGCAAAGTTTCTTGTTGGCCATCGGTTGCAGACGCCAGTTTTTACTTCGTTTTGGTGTACATTTGCATTCGGATGCAGAAAATCAGCAATGAGGGCAGAAAGCCGCCTAGACGCGGCTGCGGTACTAGGATTCTCGGAAGAAATTTTCAAGCCAATTGGCACACGCAAGGCGTCTTAGCTTTTCATCGACGTTCCCTACCCCCCTTAAAAATGTAGTTGGATTCGCCGAGGGGGTGAATGCGCGTGTCTGGGCATGCTGCAGTCGGTCAGGGCGTCTAGAACCGCTTGAGGGGAAGGTGAATGACTCTGACGCAACGGCGCTTTGAACGAAGACACTGGGCATCGTAATGATGGATCTCCTTGTTGCATACGACGACGTCTCTTGTATGCCGCACAGAGTAGGCGCAGCAACGGTGACTTGTGCAGCGTCTACCACGCTCTCCCCTCTCTCACCCGTCAGGTTCTGATGACACGACAATGTCCCAACGATGGGGGGTGAGCTCGCGCATGGTGGCTGACAAGGCTAAACAGATCGTCTACACGCGCCACACACGACCCGGACCTCGCGCAATGTGCGGGGTTTTCGCGGAAACAAGGAGGGCCCTGAATCACGTTTGTGAGAGGACGTCGGCCACACTGGCAAACTCCAGATGGTTAATTAAGCACTTCACCTAACAATTGCCCACTGGTTGACAGGTTTTGGTGGCGTCTACGGTACGTGTCTCCTTTTTTCCTAGCTCATTTGGGATTGGGAGTTGGCCAGACGACGCCCACAGCCTAAAAAGATAGGAAAATGGAAGGCGGGAGCCTTGATGAAATGGCCACCCGATTGGACAAGATGAATGAGCTGAGGGAGAGGGTGGACGAGGGTGGTATGCAGACTCACCAGGGGTGTAATGTTAACCGGGCGGGCGTTTCGGCGGCCGTCAAGGCCGGGTCGTGTAGTAGGAAGTAGTGGCGGCAATTGTGCCGGTCGACCATTAACGTGAAGCATGAGATGGATGGGAAAGTTGTCCGGCTGGGGTGATAGTGACTCCTGCTGCTGCTGCTGCTTCGGTTCACCAATGCGCAGGTTGACAAGATCTGACTGGTCCAGCTTTGCGAAACGCATGATAACTTGCACCCCAAAGTCCAAACGCTTGTCGTCTAGTCTTTGGCTGGAAACAAAAAAGAAAAAACTGGCCTTACAGGCTGACAGGAAAAAAGGTCACACAAAAGGCAGACATGGGAGCACTAAATAATAGCGTGCTACTGAAGTCGCCAAGGCTATAAAAAAATATAAAAACCGCCTTTATAAGAAAATTTCTCAAGCCACCTCAGATGTCAGCATAAAAACCAGTTCGAAGGACTGGGTAAACAGGGTTGTCGCCGAAACATTTAATGCAATGACCACAGGACTCCCACGACTCCGAATGGGCATTAAATGTGAGGCAGATAGCTCGGTCAACACCATGGTCGAGCAGAGCGGTTTTTAAAATACTGACATCTGGTGGATTCTTAAGTTAGTGCGTTTCGGGAGGCTGGGCGGGTAACTTGACGGCTCCCGGTGGGGCCTCATAGCTCAGGTGCCCTTGCTGTCGTGGATTCGATTGCTACGAAGGCCTCCGAGTTTTTCGCAATTCGGTCAACCATTTGAAGTTGCCAAAACACCAAATGTTGACAATCGGCAGCAGATGAAAATCTCCAAGGTCCCCTTAAATATTTGGGAGCATCAAGGCGGGCGGGCTTATTAAAACTAATAAATGCTGGCGCTTTTTAACCTCCTCAGAAATTAACCACGAACTTGGAGTAGATCAGTTTATTCAAGGTCTATAGGCTCAAACTGAAGTTATTATGTATGAATATTTGGGCCGAAGTCTATCAGCCACGGCGGGTAACCGCGTAATATTCACTAACTGACGACAGGCAGCTAGTAGTATAGTATACTAGTAAATGTATACTAATAAATGCCGCAGTATCATATACCCGGTGCGGTTTGCCGACAAAATAAGGTTAAACCAGGCGACTGGAAAGTTTAAATAGGTGGGCAGTAAATAACATAGAATTGGCTACGCCCAAACAGACTCACTGGCGTCGCTGAGGACTAACTCACGTTGTTGTTTGACGGACGGTGGTAATGAAAAAGTGGCCTTTTAAAAATCGTAATTTACGGCTAAAGCACTGAACGACAGGGATGCGAATGCCAACATCTTTGTAATTTCGTTTAACTTGCCAACCCAAACTACCAGCCGAATGAGCCTTCAGTTTTCAGGTGCAGCAACTAGTGGAAACATTGCCTCGCCGTGACCTGCAAGTGTTGTCAGGGTCTGGGTGAGGCGACTCTTCAGACAGCCACCACATTGGCTGCCTTGGGCTTGGTTCTCGGTGTGACAATGGTGAAAGGATGTTGGGTTCCGTTGGACAGACACTACTACTTACCGCCAACACTTCATGCTCCCAGCATTACCGCAAACGTCTACTGACCTGGTACGTCCAGCCAGACTGGCGCCGCTTCAGTCAGTTCCAATTTCTGTAGCTGAGTTCATGATCGGCGTGTGTTGACAAAAGTAACCAAACCTACGGCTCAGAACATGTCCTCGTTCGAACACGCCTAAATTGTCAGGCGCAAGAGGCCTTAAAGTGGTAAAACCACGAAAACCCAGCATGGTCGGGAGCATAAATAAAAATCAAAGGAGTGGAAGAGGCAAGCGGTCAAAACCGATATCGTTAGCTTGCAAGAATCGCAGGGCTCAGTCGGTGTAGCAAAAACTGGATTGACAAAATCTGCACGGTAATGTGTTCAAGTAGGTTGAGCTATATCCCACAATGACGGCCCCTCCCACTGAATCCGGAAAGCAGCAGCAAAGTCCGCCAGAGATAACCCTAAACCCGTTAAGCCAGTGGTGACTTTCAATGGAGCAGGCCATAGTAGAGGTCCGCGGCATTCGAAAGCTCTACCAATTTAATGGCAGATTCCCTGAACCTAATTCTGTTTGTGATGCGAACAGCGATTTTATTGCTGACTACCCTGTTAAAGTCGAGAGCAGGCATGGGGACTTCGGGCGTCTTCTCGGCTTTGGCAATTAATCTCATCGTCATCTCCCTCGACCACGGAACAGTGTCATTCTTCTCCATTCTATGCAGCGTCATGTGATCCTCTTTCGCAGAAAAAAGGGCCGTCGCATTACTGTGATTGTGCAACAATAAGGTGCCTGGAGACGACCAGCTAGGGTTTGCAAGTTCTAGAACGACCTGGTGCCCAGGTTCCGAGAGGCGATTTGACAAGCAAAGAGATGAGATAGCGCCTTTTGACTGGGTCTCTGTCAGGAAGATAATACAGTGCTAGAAGCCTCGTCGTCATGGCTGCAATGCCTTTTCCCGTCGTCGTTTTCAGGTCGTTTCAAAGAACTGAGGGTGTTCAGACAGGAGGAACATGACGGCCGGAATTCAGTATCCTGGATGTTATGGATTTTACATTGGAACAAAATGCATTTCCGTAAAGGGACTTGACAGCACCGCAACGCCATCAGCGTATTCATTGTCCATAAAGCACAGGCGGATTTGCCTCGACACTGCAGTCATCTGCCTCCCCGCCAAGTAGTTGGACAACAGGTGCACCGGAGAAAACACTCATTTTTCACGGAGGCTTCGGTCCTCCTGTGGTAGGAGGCTTGAATCAATGGAAGTGGTTTCGAAGGCATGTCAGCATGCAGCATGATCGACAAGAGAGAATCGCCCTTGGAAGGGATAAGTGCAAAGGAGGCATCCACGAACTAAGTTAACTGTCGGCGACAATGTTGGTAACCAAGATCGAAAATTTCCGCCCCCGGCCGATGGCCGCGGTGGTGTTTGCACCAGTATCGAAGAACAGACGGAGGCGATTAAAGATCACTATGAAGAAGCCTGGGGCAGAGTAAAGGAGTCTAGTACAACGGGGCTTTTTGCGTATTCATTTGTCACCTCTCCTGAAGGCCAGCATGATGACAGTGTAACTACGGCCTATCGGTATTGCTTCTGTCCCTAAAATGTGGCCCATAATGTCATGTAACCGGTAAACTAGCGCCTGTAAGTGCTTGCCGTAAGACAGTTCAGTTTCATCGTCGGTTGGAAAACCTCCGCAAATTCTCCGCTCTAACATGTGTGCAGACGGATTGGAAAAGTGGACTCGAATGAGGGGGAGATGCTTCATGGGTTACGATGCTAGGCAGGGTGTTTCTTCACCGAAAACTTGCCGGTGACGCTACTACTGTACAGAATTCGTCTGAGATCACTGGCGGAGAGGGCTTGGGGGACTTCCAAGTTGCGAAATTGCGTAACCATCTGCTGTCACCGTAAACTGTAATGTGTGTGCACAAGTGCAAGCCTCGGTTGAAAACCACGAATAACATTGATCACTCAGTGCGACTCCGAGACTGTGCGACCGGTTTTTAGCTGTACCGACGAGGTACAGCATAAACTTCTTCTCAACGCAAATTGATGTCGCGCCAGCCATGATCTGGTAAGCGCAGCTCCGACAGACGGGCAACGCCCACGTTCCCGTGAGTTAACGCTAGCAAAATGCCACACAGCAGCATGAGATACCTAGTTGGTTCTTTCGACCAGACCAGCTCGTGAATTTGCCATGCAATTCAATCATTGGCAGGGAGTCCGGATGTGTCAGCCGTCGCGGACGCCGTGGCACACGAGGCATCTAGTGGTAGGATAATCAGTCCGCAACGGAGGTTCGCGGATAGGATATGGCTTGGGCGCCTAGTCCGCAATCCAAGCCCTGAAATGTGGTTTAATTCGGAAGGCAATGGTTGTTTGCACTCACCATGTCACGGCCGTCATCGAACTTCGCGAGGACATATTCGTCAGGCACATACCTGGTAATTTTCCAGTTAAGTTTCGCAGAAGGACGTCCTCCTATAGACCACTAGTGGACGTGCTGGGCGGCCAAAAGTCAGACTGGCAGGTAAGTCCCTCGGCATCCAAGATTCTTTGAACACTTGCATAGTTCTGAGGCAACGGTAGCCCACTGGCGGAGAGGGAATTTCTGACAGACATCTTCGCCTCCGTAATATAACGACGCATTAGCGTCATTGCCTATCACGATACCGTTTCGATAATGATTATTTTTCTCCTCTCAATTTACTTCCTTGTCTTCACTTGGACCACAAATGCGACGTCAGTTAGGATGTTGTGCAATCGTCAGATGAGTTACACGAAAGCTCAACCGTCGATATCGACGACTTTCACTGTGTGCTCAACAGCAGGGCGAGGACAGGGACGGTGACTCGCGCGTGAGCAAACTTGCGCTGCATCTACCGCCCCGTATATCCTCTTTCCCCAACTGGTTTCAGTCTCAAGACAGAGTCAAGAAGACCGGAGGCGGGCGAAGGCGCAGGTAGCTAACACGGTGAAAACCCCCCACGTAGGCGGTCCACAGCGCACACTGGCCAGCATTTTCCATCACAACAAAAGTGGGGGGGGGGGGGCGGCAAGGATCCCGGCGGGCGCTACGTGAGTCTGCACATGGGCCTGCCACCACATCCTCAACGTTGACATTTGTAATCCGTGTAGTCCTAATAACGCCTGCCGAACTCCGATCTGGCCCCTGCGAGACAGACGGCAACGCGCTGCGAAATGGCGCATCTCACAGAGGCACATGCGCCAGACAGATGAGGCCTGCGTGTGTGCTTGCTCCCATCCCACTCATCACGCTCATGTTCTCTGTCATACTGGCGGACGCCTACTACAGCCAACTGCTGAACCCGAACGGCCTCCGCCCAAGAAGAAATTAGGGTATGCTAGGGGGCAAGCTCACCGGTCGCGTTACTCATGCTGCTGTGCCAGCAGCCGCACAGAGGCTAGTGATACCGACAGAATAATATTACCAACAAAGACAAGGGAGACTGTGATGGACATTTCTGGCTTATTAGCCCTCGTCAGCCAGTCACACCCGACGCCCGAAGTGTGGCACACCCGAGGCTCGAACACGCGACCTGTTTGTTGGAAGTCCACGCCTCTAATCATTGGGCCGCAAGCCCGTTGCCCTGTCGGTTTCGATCGGGAATATACAGCAGCACTGGCTCATTTTAGGAACAAACGATGAGTTATGCACTACCCGACTAAATGCACCGCCTCGTTAACTGCACCCAGCCCCTCTCGAGGACTGCATGGCATCGGGGGCGGTAAAGTAACTCCAGCATCGAGGAACACTCGTCGCCTACTGGTCATTAGACATATGTGAGTGGCATGTGATTTGCAAAATATTCAAGGCGATAACGTAGTCTGATTCCTTCCCAAACCAGACTGACAACCTTTTATTAGCGAATAAGGACTCTGTTAACTATGCCGGCTAAGTTTGTAAACATTATGGTACGGAAATCATAGTTAAGCTACCAGAAGGCAAGAAATGAATCAACCTATACACGACTTTAATGACTTTTTGTATAATATGGCTGTTAAAAACTGAATGATGCTTTGCTTTATGGCAATACTGGACACGTTGCGAACGCAACTGCACTCTCACTCAAATAAAAAAGGGGAGGATATCGGTAACTGATTAATTTAATCAACACAGCACGAAAACCACTCCTATCACGTGCTAATGGTTGTGGCTTGAAGGGCTGCTAATTAACTGGATGACTCGGTCTTTCTCACAGTTGTAATTGTTCCTCCTCAATATGACCTCTCACATGCGGGACTCGAGTAGTGAGTCGGTGGAAGTCGTCGTCTGCGACGGTCGAACTGTCGACTATACGCCATACCAGTGAGACTGAGGATACTGCTACAGTAATTTTTTCAACTTATATCAGACAAGAGCCCTCCATACGATTTAAAGAGTCTCAGCACCTACTGAATACTCTAGGCAACTGTTTCATCGAACTCTAGCAAGACCAATGCCAGTTGCATGCTTTAATTCAAGGGCACCCAAGATTAGATGAAGAGATCAAACACGTATCCTAGTTTGGCCTTGACAGCTAAGCTATCGCACAAGGTGGCGAGGTAGTGATTTGGTGGCATGCGGTAGTCACGCCGGGCTGAATATCCATGTTTGTATTCAACCATCACCGAGAATGTGTGTAGTACGCACTCGGCAGAGGCTTGCGTCAGTCTGGCCACTAAACCCAAGTGGCCTTTAGCCAGTTTGGCTAGGACAGGCCACCGTCACATATAAGAAAAGGGAGTTAACTTGATCCACGTAGCATTTAGTGCCTAGCCTCTCCCAAGTATAAACAATCAAATACTATTTCTATGACGAAGCGCCAACACTCATCGTTTGGACTGTTTTCAACTGACGGATGACTCGGCGCTGTTTAGTACTGAGGGATCTTTACGGTGGTGTCACTGCTGGGGGATGGAGGCCTCCTCAGGTGGACCAGATCGTGATAAGTGTGGACGGGTTGCAGCACCTGCCCACGTCCACATATACATCTACCTCAATTTCGTTTCGTTACTGTGCTACGGCGGGTGTGAGAACAGCGGGGAGCATGCTGCGCAATCCTACTCTGTAGAAAACAAAGTCATGCGCAAGTTGCCACTGTGTCCGCCTCGAGACAGTGGTGGATATCTCATCGCATGTGATGACCGGATACTTGCGTGACCAGACAAAGCACAAAAACGAAAAGGTCGTATGTAATTGAACCTGCTCCAGCACTCGAGGCTGGTGGTAAGAATTTGCCAGCAAAAGAGAGTAAGGAAGAAGCTCGAGGTTATATACCTGTGATAGGTGATGGCTTCGGCCTGGTCGATCGAAATTTTCAAACTAAGGGCACGTTCATAAGGGCGCTTGCCGGGAATGAAGTTGAGCTCGGAAGGAGACAAAATGGTCGGCGGTCGAATGACCTCAATGACCTTGAAGAAGGGAGAATTTGTAAAACTTAAGCCCGGTGGGCAAGTGGGAATCCGAAAGATGCCGCCGGCTAAAAATGGAATAAAGCGGCAAGGAGTGACTTTTTTAAGAACTTTTAAACATGGAGCTATGCAAAAGTATAATAGAAAGCTTACAGGTGGCGAGAGTTATGGAATCAACATTAGGTTTCGTGGTTGGAGGGGAAAAACAGTTCGAATTTGTCCTCTCTGGAGTCACCTTCTGAGTCTGCCGATTCGGGGTGCTTTTGCTGGCCGAGGCATATTGTGGCTGGCACGTGGAGGGAGAAGAGTATGGCAGAGGCAATTCACCTGAGCTGAATGAGACCTGGGAAGGGCGAGCCTCACCGGGAGATTGCATGTGGTGTGGTGCATGCCCGTCAGTATCTAAACCAACAATAAAAAAGATAAGCTCATTTGGAAATGGGAATCATCGCTATTGCATTTGAGGGCATATCAACGAGGCACGGAGAATGGTGGCATCCGATTAGTGTAATTGACGGTCCAAACTCTTAGAAGTACCTGTAAACATTTGTGAGCCGAGAAGACCTTGAAAATACACCGCATGTTGGTAAACGTCGCCTGACCCAGAAGTGTACTACGCTTTGCGACATCTTGAAATCGGTTAATGGCAGTGTACCAAGTTAGGATTTTTTAGACACCGAATAACTAGACTACAGCATAATATGTTCCCGAGTCCGTCTCGAAAGGGTATTTGAGAAGATTCACGAGGCAGGACCATGTTTATGCTCGGAATGCAATTTCGAGTGTACCGTAGAGCATAAGAGGATCACTCAGCATTTGAAACTGGCAAGAGCATTGCTTCTGTGATAGCCTGCACCCACCTGAGAGTTGGGTATATAAGACTACAATCGCGTAACTTCCCTACTCTGATAGATAATAGGTATGCTTAGGCGAGTATCATTGATACAGAAGGCGTCGACCCAGAGACCTTAATGCATTATTTGGGTTTTCATGGGGGAAGACAAATGTGTCATGGCAGTTCGTGACAATGAGTAGTGCGCGTACCGGTTGCTTGTGTCCTCTGTGTTCGTTGTTCTCCGGAACTAGCCTGCCTAAAATTACTTCCTTAAAGGCTTCAGATTGGTTATAAGCCAAATTAGTACGTTCTTTTTCACCGAGAACATTGCTGGATGGTTAGATGATTCTTTCGGGATTAAAATAGTATTCCAGCCACCATAAAATTATCTGTGGCTGCGATGGAGGAAGACTGAATGACTGCGCCTAAGTTCATGTGCTACTGCCTAAACTCAGTCATCGACCCGAAAAAATCACCGGCGTCTTCCGCACACAATAGGACTGCGTAATGTAGTTCGCATCAGGTATCCAGACGCAGTGGGAGATAGCCTGATCGTGTTTGCTATTTTTTATCAATAAACTCACTCCCCTCCCATTCGTGCTTGCAGTCACTGCCCTCATCAATGTGTAGCTATGTAACCGGTATGCAGGAAGGCGAGGTCGACAATGATGACGGCGACAACCATTGATGAACACGCGCGGTCAGTACAGAAGCATGACTGTTCGAAAGAAAACAGACTTAAACCACCATGCTTTTACAATAAACTTATCACAACCGGTGTGAGACGTGATGTGGAAACGTAACCGTACTGGTTGCGCGTGTGATCCTACAGAACCGAGCGGTGAAAGAAACAGTATATACTTCGCGCAAGCGGTCCCGCGGGTTGAACGGGTAGGGTTGTACCTTCATGCAGAAAGCATGTTTGCCCTGACCACATGTACTGAAGATGCATCGGAGGCGACGTAAGTTCGCAATTCGGTATGCAACCTCGTGAAGAATCAGACAATGAATTCCTTGAATGCAAGTTATACTGACAAAGGTACACACAAGCATGAAGTCGTCAAAACCACCCTGATTACCTAGATCAGATCATGCTGCATAGATAAATGCACCAAATGACAATCCTGAGAAAGCTGTCAACCAGGACAAGAAATAATCGCGGCTCGACCCGCAGGTAAGGGCAGGCATAACGAGCGTATAATGCCAAACGGGGGGTTTAAAAGCCACCTAACTTCTACCCACAGCTTCTCTTTTTTCTGTGCGTATTTGACACGGACATGATGATAGTCAGCACCAACCTGCGATGAACGTCGAGAAGTAGAAACCTGTTTGGTTTAATGCCTGCATATACATTACAAGGCTTAGGAGTGCAAACACAAAATCGGGCGAGGTATACAGCGAGCCAGAGGTCGCTTTTGGAAACACAATTATCAGCTATTTTCGAAGGTAGAGACACGAGACCGGAGCGTGAAGGGGCAGATAACACGAAAGACGAGTGGTGAGGAAGGGCGACACAGGACAATTACCACAAAACTCGACGATTTAAATTGATATGTTTCGTTTCTATGGCTGAACGGTGCTTTTTGCAGAGAAAACTGGACTTTAATATGCCTGCAGCAAATTTCTCTCAAGTCACGGTTGACCAGAAGCGTTGCCACTAGGGCGGATGTGCAGTACTTGTGGCTCACCCACGTTCAATAACAGCAATTAAGATCAGCATAATGACGGCAACAGGAACTGCCAACCGACAGTTCGGTGAGTAGAAGCGGCGAGGTACATTAGCTTAAAAGGTCTACTAGACAGTCATACAAATGAGTGAGCGAACCTCCTAGTCATTACTATAAAACACAAATGCAAAGACAGTACTTACAATCGTTTGCAGCCTCGCGGGTGGTCAAAGAAACCGATGATAGGCGGGACAATGTTTGCATTTCCTGACTGACGGCAGACAAGAATTCAGGGGACGGTCCAACTTCGACGTAATTTATGAGCCTCTGCAAGAGGTCGTTTTTTAATCCACCAGTGGGAAGTTCAGCAATCTTCAGTAGGTTCTCCAGGGTTTTTCGCTTGCATGTGCGAATGAACTCCTTTAAATCTCATAGCGGTAAATAAAGAATACCTTGATCCGCCTCCGGGAGCACATCAAACACACCGGCAGACAATCATTTAAACGTTCCGCAGATTCAACTCATCTTGTCATGTTCCCACACGGGTGTGAGTAAAACGCCATTTATTCCGGATCTCATGCGGCTTTTTCAGAGGATATTTACTTAAACGCAAATTTTTCAGTCCAGGAAATCTTATTTTGACAGAAAAACGCACCCTTTGTGAACTCTTGATGCGCAGACGACAGGGAGTAATTGTCTAAACATGAAAGGCACTCGCTGCCTAGTGTTCATTGTGAGACCAGCCATATTTCGCATACCATATATGGAAATTCTTCCATGTGTGAGCTTATGGTCGCCTGTTGACCTGAAAGAGCTGCTTAAGTAGCTTTGTAACAGCCCTTATGAAACCTGTAGGCTTTTGTATATTTTGATTTGTTTCACTACACTTTCTTGTACATCTGACTTTCCTGTACATTTGCTTGACTAAACGGAAATACACACAAACAATTCTGCGGTGGTCAACGTGTGTTCTGGTTTCCAGTGTGCTTGATGTCGTTATTTCTTGGCCTTCGCTTGTAACCTCTCAGCATTCTTAGCAATTCGTATGGGCTGACGGAGACTCCCTCCTAACAAGCCGACTTCACTATATCATCGCGGAACCGACTGCCTCTATTCAACCGGTTCCTCATCGGAATACTATTTCGCTACTTGAAAGGATTCTACTTTACGTGAGTCTGGAACATTCCTTTTCTGATTCTTCGAATCTCTACATCCTTTTTTGTTCGTAAACACAACTCCCCCATTTTCCCTGTATATATTACTGTTTGTAGTTTTTAAGTCCGCGTTACCACTACAAACCCCGAGGTGAAGACCGGAGATCATTTATAATGATTTCGCCGGGTATGACTCGGCACTGTTTTGCTGTGAAGCTACCAAAACTATCAATCGTCTTACTCTGTCAGCATGAGACCAGGCAGACCTTTGGAGATAAGTGAAAGGAAGGAAACATTCGGGAAAAGGGGTTAACTGTGACGCCTAGTGGAATTTCGTCGTCAAATAAAAGTTGTTAAAACGTTAATCCCTCATGCTAGGAAGTCGAAGATAAGCCTTACATTATATTCCTTAACTTTAACATTCGACCATAAAACAAGAACCTAGCCACAGTACTTAACAATGAGAGTGACGTAGAATTAGTTAAATAATAACGAGAAATCAGAAGTCGAGGTGACGAGCATACGTAGACTTTAATAAATTCTCGTCGGGCCAGTACAATTATATGGGAAGGGGGTAGAATTATGGAAATAACGATAATACCGGATGTTTGGGTCAATTCTTTGTCTTTGTGATCATCAGGGAATCGGAATTTTACATTCACTGTGCCAAAAATCCCTTAGCCAAATCCAAGCCAATACCTGAATTTATACCTTTCCCGATGATTGTTTTGAAAAGGGAGCTACAGTAGCTCAATGAAACTAAGTAATCGGACCCGAACGACATACCAGCGATGTTCCCAAAAATAGTCTACATGTGAACTCTCCATACTATTTGCTCATATCTTACATTCGTCCTTTGAGTTAGGGAGGAATATGAATGGCGGCGAAACCGAGTAATTGACAGTTGACCTGAAACCAACAAAAATGGAGGCCCTAGGTTGTCGTATCTTACTTAAGGAAGCCGTGAGGTAAAGCAATGTCGATGTTGCCAGGCCACCTAATGAACACAATTTCGATACAGTTTATCTGCTGGCCCTCACGAACTCTCGTTGGAATCATGACGTGTTGGGCAAGGAGAAACTTGTCAGTGGTACGCAGAAGCTGCTGGTCGAATTAAATTTACTAGCAGTCGATGGAGGCTGAGTTCCAGCTGACGAGATATAAGTTAAAATTTACGAAGATGGGAGTATTCGGCCGCGTAGTAAGCAATTTGAGCTTTTTGTTAGTTAGGCATCATTTCGGGGTAATTGTTCGCGGGCGATACACCGTTAAGGTATAGAGGACTTGTGAAGCTGGTGCGCTTATAGTTAACCATATTGCCACCGTGATACAAGTCGGCTTAGCAGTTTATTTCTGTATCATACTAGCCATTCATGGCAGACTTTGTCCAATTGTGCACAACCGTCCAAAATCTTCAGGTCGTGATAATTTAAAATTGGTTATTATTTTCAGATCCTTACACCATTTACCTTATTTTGTCATCTAAGGTCAGAATTAATGGGAAAATGACAACTAAATTTTTATACACGCAGGATATAAACTATGACTGATGCTTAAGTCATAATCGATAAAATGGATCTCTTGGCCGTCTTGCGTCTGCAGAATTTTATCGAGAAAAATGAACACATTTTTGATTTTAGAGTGGCTGCTAAACTCAAGTACATTTACAAACAGCCTACGAGACGTATCACAAATAAGATTGATCATGCACTTAGTATCATCAGAAGTCGCCGATAGGTCTAAACGCAAATTTTATGTCATTATAT